AGTGTGTGTAGTGTGTAGTGTGTGTATTATGTGTAGTGTGTGTATTGTGTGTAGTGTGTGACAAACAATGACAAACATTGAGCAGATGTAGTTTGGTTTAAACACGATCCTACTGAGGCTAAAGCAGAGAATGGATCACTGTGAAGACGCTGTTTGGTGATATTGTCATAAATGAAATTATATTCACAGATATTGACTTTAAAGTGTGTATTTTACGGTGCGTCAACAAATCTAAATGTACCAGATCTGTCTAAGATCATTAGTTTTCTCATTGATAGAGTTCAGATCTAAAGCTGTGTTTACATTCCTGCTCTGGGAGTTAGAGACCTTAGACTCAGAGCTTTAACTGAGCTTTAACTGAGCTTTAACTGAGCTTTAACTGAGCTTTAACTGAGCTCTAACTGAGCTTTAACTGAGCTTTAACTGAGCTTTAACTGAGCTTTATCTGAGCTTTAACTGAGCTTTAACTGAACTTTGACTGAGCTTTGACTGAGCTTTAACTGAGCTTTAACTCAGAACTGAGCTTTAACTGAGCTTTAACTGAGCTTTAACTCAGCTTTAACTGAGCTTTAACTGAGCTTTAACTGGGCTTTGACTGAGCTTTAACTGAGCTTTATCTGAGCTTTATCTGAGCTTTAACTCAGCTTTGACTGAGCTTTGACTGAGCTTTAACTGAGCTTTAACTGAGCTCTAACTGAGCTTTAACGGAGCTTTAACTGAGCTTTATCTGAGCTTTAACTGAGCTTTAACTCAGCTTTAACTGAGCTTTAACTGAGCTTTAACTCAGCTTTAACTCAGCTTTAACTCAGCTTTAACTCAGCTTTAACTTCTGTCTCATCTTTCTCCATGTTGCAGTTTGATAACAAATAAACATTATTGCACCTTTCACACAAAGTGCTTCACATTATTCAATAAAAACTCAGAAGCTGCCGACACTGGAGACGTACGACCAGTGTGACCAGGAGGAGAGATAGGAGGAGCTCGGAGTAGAGCTGCTGCTCCTACACGTGGAGAGGAACCAGTGGAGGTGGCTCATCTGTTTGGGATGCCTCCTGGTCTGTCCCACCAGGCGGAGACCAGGAGGAGACCAGGAGGAGACCAGGAGGAGACCAGGAGGAGACCCAGGACACAGAGGGACTTTGATGAGCCCAGATGAGATTAATTGGTCCCACAGCGGGGAAATTCCAGTGTTGCAAGTTACAGAACAGTAGGAATGAGGAGCACACAGCACAAGATACATGAACAATAACTCTTTACTAATTAGAATAAAATCAAATAGAAACAAGTTTAAAATCTCTATCTTTAACATAATAAAGTATAAAATCTTTAACATAATACAAATAATAATAATCTCTATCTTTAAAACAGAAGAAGTGTGTGGAGAGTCCTGGAGTAAAGTGACGTCAGGACATTCTTGCCTCTGGACGTTGTGAATGTTTATAGTTTCGGTGTTAGCGCCTCACATTCTTGGGGAGTCCTCGGCAGCGGATCACAGGTCTCTGAGAACCATTAAAGTGACACGGAGCAGACTGAGGCTGACGCAAACCAGACCCACAGACCAGCACATGAACTCAGGGCGCCCCCAGAACCAGCTGAGGCCACGCCCCCAGAACAATCTGAGGCCACGCCCCCAGAACCAGCCAGACCAGGACCCCAGAACCAGCAGCAGACCACACCTCCAGAACCAGCTGAGACCACGCCCCTAGAATGATCTGCAGACCACGCCCCTAAAACATACTGCAGACCACGCCCCCATAATGAGCTGCAGACCACCACCTCCAGAAACAGCTGAACCACGCCCCCAAAACCAGCCCAACCACGCCCCCAGAACCAGCAGTAGACCACACCCCCAGAACCAGCTGAGACCACGCCCCTAGAATGAGCTACAAACCACGTCCCCAGAAACAGCTGAACCATGCCCCCAAAACCAGCCCGACCACGCCCCTAGACCTTAGAGATCTAGTCTTATCTGCGTCATCGTCTTGCAAATAGTAATTAATTATTTGGATTTAAAATTATTGTTAAATCTTGGCAACTTCAATTTGAATAAAACAGAGCTGTCTGATTGTGTGATTTACGGAGTGACAGTGAACTCACCGCAGGAGAATGTATTGTTTCAAAGCATCAGGCCGCATCACTCCTGCTCACACACACACACACACACACACACACACAAACAGACATACACGTACGCACATTCATACACACACACACAGTCAGATTTGTTAGTACGCAAGAAATAAGATTTTTTCTAATAAGATGAAGACGGCATGCTGTGGTCTGCAGTAACATAATCTATTATTTATGAGGGTTAGAGGTTAGAGACACCAGCTTTAATCCTTTCAGGTCACATGGAAGAACAGCCTCCACAGGGAAAACATGTCCCAGAATCACAACCTAAACTCAAGAGAAGTGACTTTAATGTTTAGATTTAGGAAAAACATTCTTCTTAGACTCTTACTTTGTGAAGCCTCCAGAGACATCAGGACTTAAGGACTGGGTCATGGTCCTAGGGCTGTACTGGAATGAGAGGGTCTAGTTCTCCTGAGTTTCTCCTGCTGCATACATTGTTAGGTTCAGTGTTTTTCCACCTTTTAGAACCTCTGGCCTTACCTCTCTTTAGCCTCACTTTAGCCTCACTTTAGTTTCACTTTAGCCTCACTTTAGCTTCACTTTAGCTAAACATGGGGAGGCTGCTTTTCAGATTCATGCTGCTAAAATCTGGAACAATCTTCCTGAAGATATGAGACAGGCCTCCTCTCTGACAATGTTTAAAACCAGGTTAAAAACTGTGCTGTTTAGCTGTGCATACAACTGAGGGATTTTATATTTTTATCTTTCGTTTTAATGTTCTGTGATTATTTATGATTTTAATGCTATCTTGTTCAGCACTTTGAGTTGCCTTGTGTATGAATTGTGCTATACAAATAAACTTGCCTTGCCACTTTAGCTTCACTTTAGCTTCACTTTAGCCTCACTTTAGCTTCACTTTAGCTTCACTTTAGCTTCACTTTAGCCTCACTTTAGCCTGACTTTAGCTTCACTTTAGCTTCATTTTAGCCTTACTTTAGCTTCACTTTAGCTTCATTTTAGCCTCACTTTAGCTTCACTTTAGCTTCATTTTAGCCTGACTTTAGCTTCACTTTAGCTTCATTTTAGCCTTACTTTAGCTTCACTTTAGCTTCATTTTAGCCTTACTTTAGCTTCACTTTAGCTTCATTTTAGCCTCACTTTAGCTTCACTTTAGCTTCATTTTAGCCTCACTTTAGCTTCACTTTAGCTTCACTTTAGCCTCACTTTAGCCTCACTTTAGCCTCACTTTAGCATCACTTTAGCTTCACTTTAGCCTGATATTAGCCCAACTTTAGCTTCACTCTCGCTTCACACTAGCTTCACTTTAGCTTTTAGCCTGATATTAGCCTGACTTTAGCTTGACACTAGCTTCACTCTAGCTTCTCTTTAGCTTGACTTTAGCCTGACTTCATCCAGAATTTAGCCAAACTTTTGTCAAACTTTAGCCAGACTTTTGTCTGACTTTAGCCTGACTTTAGCCAGACTTTAGCCAGACTTTAGCCAGACTTTGGCATCGCTATAGCTTCACTTTAGCCAAACTTTAGCCAGACTTTAGCCTGACTTTAGCCAGACTTTAGCCAGACTTTAGCCAGACTTTAGCCAGACTTTGGCATCGCTATAGCTTCACTTTAGCCAAACTTTAGCCAGACTTTAGCCTGACTTTAGCCAGACTTTAGCCAGACTTTAGCCAGACTTTAGCCAAACTTTAGCCAGACTTTAGCCAAACTTTAGCCAGACTTTAGCCTGACTTTAGCCTGACTTTAGCCTGACTTTAGCCAGATTTTAGCCTGACTAACCTGACTTTAGCTTGACTAACCTGACTTTAGCTTGACTAACCTGACTTTAGCTTGACTTGAGCTTGACTTTATCCGGACTTTAGCCTGACTAGTCTGACTTTAGCGTCTCGCCTTTAGTGTCTCGCCTTTAGTGTCTCGCCTTTAGCGTCTCGCCTTTAGCGTCTCCCCTTTAGCGTCTCCCCTTTAGCGTCTCCCCTTTAGCGTCTCGCCTTTAGCGTCTCCCCTTTAGCGTCTCCCCTTTAGCGTCTCGCCTTTAGCGTCTCCCCTTTAGCGTCTCGCCTTTAGCGTCTCGCCTTTAGCGTCTCGCCTTTAGCGTCTCCCCTTTAGCGTCTCGCCTTTAGCGTCTCCCCTTTAGCGTCTCGCCTTTAGCGTCTCCCCTTTAGCGTCTCGCCTTTAGCGTCTCCCCTTTAGCGTCTCGCCTTTAGCGTCTCGCCTTTAGCGTCTCCCCTTTAGCGTCTCGCCTTTAGCGTCTCGCCTTTAGCGTCTCGCCTTTAGCGTCTCGCCTTTAGCGTCTCGCCTTTAGCGTCTCCCCTTTAGCGTCTCCCCTTTAGCGTCTCCCCTTTAGCGTCTCCCCTTTAGCGTCTCGCCTTTAGCGTCTCCCCTTTAGCGTCTCGCCTTTAGCGTCTCCCCTTTAGCGTCTCGCCTTTAGCGTCTCCCCTTTAGCGTCTCCCCTTTAGCGTCTCGCCTTTAGCGTCTCGCCTTTAGCGTCTCCCCTTTAGCGTCTCGCCTTTAGCGTCTCGCCTTTAGCGTCTCCCCTTTAGCGTCTCGCCTTTAGCGTCTCGCCTTTAGCGTCTCCCCTTTAGCGTCTCGCCTTTAGCGTCTCCCCTTTAGCGTCTCCCCTTTAGCGTCTCGCCTTTAGCGTTTCCCCTTTAGCGTCTCCCCTTTAGCTTCTCCCTGAGCCCGGTGTTCTGGTGTAATCCCGATGTGCCGGAGCCACCAGTGTGTGACACGGCGGTGGGTGGCAGCCTGGTACAGCCCTTTCTCATGACCGGGAAATAATCCTCATTACAACTGCACACGCAAGAACACACCGTCGCTCTGCTCCACAAAGACTTCACACTCACCAAAAATGACCAAAACACAGGAATAACCATCTTTATTTTTGACTGAAACCCTGCGGAGGCTAGCATCATGCTCTGGCTACGTGCAGGTACTTTGCTCTTCTGTCTCCCTTCATTAATATTACTCTAAATGTTTTTTATTTGACTTGATGCATTGCACAAATAAGAGTCATTCTGCTGTTGGTTTGAGTCTTGGGGGCCTGTGACCTGGTGTGTGGTAGAAAAGTGTTTAAATGTGTGTTGTTGTGATGAAGACGAGGAGATGCAGAGATTAACAGTTTTGCTGCTGCTGTAATAGGTTTTGGGGTCCTGAGATGGCTGGTTGTGATTGGCTGCTGAAAGACAGGATACAAGACCAGATCCAAAACACATGGACTATAAAGAGTGAAAGTCTTTTATACAGAATGACAGTAACATTAAATGAATTGAGATGGTGTGTTTTAGTCTCCTCTTGTAATCCAGACCATGACAATGACATTTTTCAAGTTGAAATAATGAATAGTACTGATTCAGAATGCTGATCTTGTCTTTAGGGTGGATTTGATGGTTCCGTCTGACAAAAAAAAACTAGTCTGAAGTGGTTTTGGTCTATTTCTTGTTTATATATCATGTTATTATTATCAAAGGTCTAATCTCAAAGTCTATTATCACACACAATGGTGGTAATATACAGTACAGCTATAGTCACTGATGCCCTAGGGCAGACTAACAGAAGCGTGGCTGCTTAGTCTTGGATCTACAGTCTCAGTCCTGGATCTACAGCCCCAGTCCTGGGTCTACAGCCTCAGGCCTGGATCTAAAGCCTCAGTCCTGGGTCTACAGCCTCAGTCCTGGATCTACAGCCTCAGTCCTGGATCTACAGCCCCAGTCCTGGGTCTACAGCCTCAGGCCTGGATCTAAAGCCTCAGTCCTGGGTCTACAGCCTCAGTCCTGGATCTACAGCCTCAGTCCTGGGTCTACAGCCTCAGGCCTGGATCTACAGCCTTAGTCCTGGGTCTACAGCCTCAGTCCTGAATCTACAGCCTCAGTCCTGGGTCTACAGCCTCAGTCCTGGATCTACAGCCTCAGTCCTGGGTCTACAGCCTCAGGCCTGGATCTACAGCCTCAGTCCTGGGTCTACAGCCCCAGTCCTGGGTCTACAGCCTCAGTCCTGGGTCTACAGCCTCAGTCCTGGATCTACAGCCCCAGTCCTGGGTCCACAGCCTCAGTCCTTGGTTTCTGAGTGGTTCCTCTCTGATGCAGGAGAGTCAAAGGACAGTGATCACAAGAAGGACCTGATGAGGAGACTTTAACATTCTACAACATGTATGACATTTATCTCTCTCCTAATACCATGTGGTCTATATATTTATGTGTCTTAACTGTTGATTCTCTGATCTGTGTTGGAGATTTCAATGGTTTTTTTAAGTCTCGGAGATGTTACTGTTGTGATTTAGGTAAATACAAGAATAAATTGTATTGTATTAATCACCCCTCTCCCTATGGACCAGCGGCTACTCTATGTGTTTGTTATTATTGCATGTGTTGGAACTGTCCGGTCCCGATGGCTTGGCTTGCTACACTGGCCCCTTCTCCCTCACAGCCTCATGTTGTAATCAGTAAAACCCTACATGTTTGAGAATGGGGTTGTTATTGCAGAGTCCTCGTCCTCTGGTCCAGCCCCTCTTATCTCTGGTGCCAACCCTGATTTAAAGCACTTGAGCACATCTGGCTCTGGTTTTGGGGGCGGCACATTCCCTGGAATCTGACGTGTGAGAGACATGATCCATCTGTGTCTCGGACCATCATTAAACCATCATTAAACCATCACTGGTGATAGCTGCTAACGCTAATCCACTTTATTTATATAGCACATTATATTTAAAAAAGTGCTGCACAGATAAAGGTAATACGTAAGAAATGTACAAGTCTGCCAGGTTTAAATAAAAACAATAAAAATACATATTCAATTATAAAAAATAAAATGCAAATAAAATAAAATACAAATAAAATAAAATAAAATAAAATAAAATAAAAAACAATTAAAATAAAATAGAATAAAATAAAAGATATTAAAAAAATAAAATAAAATAATAAATAAAATAAAATCCATTAAAATAAAATAAAAACAATTGAGAAAAAACAATTATCTATACACAAAAATAAACATTAATAAAAATAAATATAAAAAAAACAATAAAATAGAGGACCAAGCAAACTCTGATGAGGTTCGAGATGTAGCATTAAAAACTAACAATACAATCTTAAAGTCAGTTCTAAAATGAACTCTAACTGACATGGATCTCTGTCCCTGAGTTCTTTCTGAACTGATGGATCTGTGAAAGCAGAGAAATTAATCCAAAAGGAGAACTTTCCTAATACTTAGTGAATTCCTGACATTCCCTCCTGAGTGTTTCCTAATCTATCCGAGTAGGAGAGGGAGGGGTTGGTGCCGCGGGGAGGAGGGGGGTCGTGTGTGTAGGAGAGAGGGGTCGGTGCCGCGGGGAGGGTTGTGTGTGTAGGAGACAGGGGTCGGTGCCGCGGGGAGGAGGAGGGTCGTGTGTGTAGGAGAGAGAGTGGTCGGTGCCGCAGGGAGGAGGAGGGTTGTGTGTGTAGGAGAGAGGGGTCGGTGCCGTGGGGAGGAGGAGGATTGTGTGTGTAGGAGAGAGGGGTCGGTGCCGTGGGGAGGAGGAGGGTCGTGTGTGTAGGAGAAAGAGGTGTCGGTGCCGCGGGGAGAAGGAGGGTCGTGTGTGCAGGAGAGAGAGTGGTCGGTGCCGCAGGGAGGAGGAGGGTTGTGTGTGTAGGAGAGAGGGGTCGGTGCCGTGGGGAGGAGGAGGATTGTGTGTGTAGGAGAGAGGGGTCGGTGCCGTGGGGAGGAGGAGGGTTGTGTGTGTAGGAGAGAGGGGTCGGTGCCGTGGGGAGGAGGAGGATTGTGTGTGTAGGAGAGAGGGGTTGGTGCCGTGGGGAGGAGGAGGGTTGTGTGTGTAGGAGAGAGGGGTCGGTGCCGTGGGGAGGAGGAGGGTCGTGTGTGTAGGAGAAAGAGGTGTCGGTGCCGCGGGGAGAAGGAGGGTCGTGTGTGCAGGAGAGAGAGGGGTCAGTGCCGCAGGGAGGAGGAGGGTTGTGTGTGTAGGAGAGAGGGGTCGGTGCCGTGGGGAGGAGGAGGATTGTGTGTGTGTAGGAGAGGAGGGGTCGGTGCCGTGGGGAGGAGGAGGGTTGTGTGTGTAGGAGAGAGAGGGGTCGGTGCCGTGGGGAGGAGGAGGATTGTGTGTGTAGGAGAGAGAGGGGTTGGTGCCGCGGGGAGGAGGAGGGTTGTGCGTGAAGCTAAAGCTGTATTGTTTGGTAGTAGTAGTTAGTGTTGATGATAATGATGTAAAGCTCTCGTCAGAACAAAGCTCATTTGTTAAACACAAATAAATTTAATGCATTGTTTTTGGCCAAAATCACAACAGTTGTCTTTACAACTATGTTAAGGAGATAAGGACGTAGCACTTTTCCTCCTTACTGTTGGCTCCTGTTGTCTCCTGTTGGCTCCTGTTGGCTCCTGTTGTCTCCTGTTGTCTGCTGTTGGCTCCTGTTGGCTCCTGTTGTCTCCTGTTGGCTCCTGTTGGCTCCTGTTGGCTCCTGTTGGCTCCTGTTGGCTACTGTTGTCTCCTGTTGGTTCCTGTTGTCTCCTGTTGGCTTCTGTTGGCTCCTGTTGTCTCCTGTTGTCTCCTGTTGGCTCCTGTTGGCTCCTGTTGTCTCCTGTTGGCTCCTGTTGGCTCCTGTTGTCTCCTGTTGGCTCCTGTTGGCTCCTGTTGTCTCCTGTTGTCTCCTGTTGGCTCCTGTTGGTTCCAGTTGGCTCCTGTTGGCTACTGTTGTCTCCTGTCGGCTCCTGTTGGCTACTGTTGTGTCCTGTTGGCTCCTGTTGGCTCCTGTTGTCTCCTGTTGGCTCCTGTTGTCTCCTGTTGGCTCCTGTTGTCTCCTGTTGTCTCCTGTTGGCTCCTGTTGGCTCCTGTTGGCTACTGTTGTCTCCTGTTGGCTCCTGTTGGCTACTGTTGTGTTCTGTTGGCTCCTGTTGTCTCCTGTTGGCTCCTGTTGTCTCCTGTTGGCTCCTGTTGGCTCCTGTTGTCTCCTGTTGTCTCCTGTTGTCTCCCGTTGGCTCCTGTTGGCTCCTGTTGGCTCCTGTTGGCTCCTGTTGTCTCCTGTTGTCTCCTGTTGGCTCCTGTTGTTTCCTGTTGGCTCCTGTTGGCTCCTGTTGGCTCCTGTTGTCTCCTGTTGTCTCCTGTTGGCTCCTGTTGGCTCCTGTTGGCTTCTGTTGGCTCCTGTTGGCTCCTGTTGTCTCCTGTTGTCTCCTGTTGTCTCCTGTTGGCTCCTGTTGGCTCCTGTTGTCTCCTGTTGGCTCCTATTGGCTCCTGTTGTCTCCTGTTGTCTCCTGTTGGCTCCTGTTGGCTCATGTTGGCTCCTGTTGTCTCCCGTTGGCTCCTGTTGGCTCCTGTTGGCTCCTGTTGTCTCCTGTTGTCTCCTGTTGTCTCCTGTTGTCTCCTGTTAGCTCCTGTTGGCTCCTGTTGGCTCCTGTTGGCTACTGTTGTCTCCTGTTGGCTCCTGTTGGCTACTGTTGTGTTCTGTTGGCTCCTGTTGTCTCCTGTTGGCTCCTGTTGTCTCCTGTTGGCTCCTGTTGGCTCCTGTTGTCTCCTGTTGTCTCCTGTTGTCTCCCGTTGGCTCCTGTTGGCTCCTGTTGGCTCCTGTTGGCTCCTGTTGTCTCCTGTTGTCTCCTGTTGGCTCCTGTTGTGTCCTGTTGGCTCCTGTTGGCTCCTGTTGGCTCCTGTTGTCTCCTGTTGTCTCCTGTTGGCTCCTGTTGGCTCCTGTTGGCTTCTGTTGGCTCCTGTTGGCTCCTGTTGTCTCCTGTTGTCTCCTGTTGTCTCCTGTTGGCTCCTGTTGGCTCCTGTTGTCTCCTGTTGGCTCCTATTGGCTCCTGTTGTCTCCTGTTGTCTCCTGTTGGCTCCTGTTGGCTCATGTTGGCTCCTGTTGTCTCCTGTTGGCTCCTGTTGGCTCCTGTTGGCTCCTGTTGGCTCCTGTTGTCTCCTGTTGTCTCCTGTTGGCTCCTGTTGTTTCCTGTTGGCTCCTGTTGGCTCCTGTTGGCTCCTGTTGTCTCCTGTTGTCTCCTGTTGTCTCCTGTTGGCTCCTGTTGGCTCCTGTTGTCTCCTGTTGTCTCCTGTTGGCTCCTGTTGTCTCCTGTTGGCTCCTGTTGTCTCCTGTTGTCTCCTGTTGGCTCCTGTTGGCTCCTGTTGGCTCCTGTTGGCTACTGTTGTCTCCTGTTGGCTCCTGTTGGCTCCTGTTGGCTCCTGTTGTATTCTCCTGCAGCAGCGACGAGATGTTGTATTGAATGAACTGTAACAGATTCAAACTATTTGGACTGAACTCTTTGATCCTTATTTTGTGTCTCTCTGTGTGTGTGTCTCTATCACAGATGACTCTCACAGTTGTGTGTCTCTCACTCAGTTGTGTGTCTGTCTCACAGTTGTGTGTCTCACAGTTGTGTGTCTCACAGTTGTGTGTCTCTCTCTCAGTTGTGTCTCTCAGTTGTGTGTCTCTCTCACAGATGTCTCTCTCACAGTTGTGTGTCTCTCAGTTGTGTGTCTCACAGTTGTGTGTCTCTCCTTCAGTTGTGTGTCTCTCTCACAGATGTCTCTCTCACAGTTGTGTGTCTCTCAGTTGTGTGTCTCACAGTTGTGTGTCTCTCTCAGGTCATGACATCAGCAGCTCTCTGGAGCCGAACAACATCGACACGAGCATCCTGGAGGAGTACATCAGCAAAGAGGACGACTGCTCAGACATGTCAGTACTTTAAAGCTCGGGTACCTAACTTCACAGCATCACAGATAATACAGCTGACACCGACGACTGTAGTTTTAGATCTGCTGTTGGGAAATCAACAATTATGTGAAGCCTTGTCAGATGGCTGAGGAGATACAAATATTTATTAAAGCTGGGTTAGTTAAGTTAATTTAACTCTTTTTGTTTAGAAGTTAATGATAGAAGTTGTGGTACTGCAGCCTCTCCCACTCTCCCTGACTCAGGTTGCCAGATATGCAGACGAATCCAGCTGGGACCATAACAGCTGAATAGACAAGAGTTTTGTCAACAACAAATCTATAACCAACACCTTTTTCACAAAGATAGAAATCCTGGTTTTATTCCTTGTTTTGTGATTTGAGAATCATAACGAGACCTTTTTTTGTTCTGCGCCACATGGTACTTTACCAGTGAGATTAGCTGCATGCGGTGAGTTCTGACGCCAGGATCACAGACTTTCTGATTGGTGAAATGGTGGAGGGTGGGACATCAAAATGAAAACAATAACAAGATTTAGGGGCTGGAAAAGTAATTTAGAAATTCAAATATCTCTGAACTACTGTTATCAGTTAAAGAAGGATTGGAAAAGAGCAGTTTATTATTATGACAGATTAGGGCCCTTTAATTATGACAGATTAAGGCCCTTTAATGATGACGGATTTGGGCCCTTTAATTATGACAGGTTAGGGCCCTTTAATGATGACCGAATTAGGGCCCTTTAATGATGACAGATTAGGGCCCTTTAATGATGACAGATTAGGGCCCTTTAATGATGACGGATTAGGGCCCTTTAATGATGACAGAATTAGGGCCCTTTAATGATGACAGATTAGAGCCCTTTAATGATGACAGATTAGGGCCCTTTAATGGTGACGGATTAGGGCCCTTTAATGATGACAGAATTAGGGCCCTTTAATGATGACAGATTAGGGCCCTTTAATGATGACAGAATTAGGGCCCTTTAATGATGACAGATTAGGGCCCTTTAATGATAACTTGTATCTATATTTATATTCCTGTTTATATATTTCAGTATGTCTGCTTCTCTGTCCACAGCTGCTTCACAGAGGTGCACAGTGGTCCGGGAGCACAGTACCCCTCCCCTCAGGCGTGTGCGGTGAGCCCTCCTGTCCCGCTGAGACACTCTCTGTCTGGAGCCAACCCCTGCCCCAGCTACCTCCCTCCTCCCCCCCCACACCGGCAGACCTACCCCTGCCCCGGCCTGGGACCACAGCCAGCCCCCGTCAAGGCAGAGCACAGGGGCCCCTACGTACCAGGGTGAGACCGGAAGACGTGTGATCGCAATGTCCGGGATTTATCTGTATAGCACAGAGAGCAGAGAGAGAGACCAGAGAGAGACCAGAGAGAGACTAGAGAAAGACCAGAGAGAGAGAGACCAGAGGGAGACCAGAGAGACCAAAAAGAGACCAGAGAGAGACCAGAGGGAGACTAGAGAGAGACCAGAGAGAGAGAGACCAGAGGGAGACCAGAGAGAGACCAGACAGAGACTAGAGAGAGACCAGAGAGAGAGAGAGACCAGAGGGAGACTAGAGAGACCAGAGAGAGACCAGAGAGAGAGAGACCAGAGACCAGAGAGAGACCAGAGAGAGACCAGAAAGAGAGACCAGAGGGAGACCAGAGAGAGAGACCAGAGAGTGACCAGAGAGAGATCAGAGAGAGATCAGAGAGAGACCAGAGAGAGACCAGAGATAGACCAGAAAGAGACCAGAGAAAGACCTGAGAGAGACCAGAGGGAGACCAGAGAGAGAGACCAGAGAGAGACCAGAGAGAGACCAGAAAGAGACCAGAGAAAGACCTGAGAGAGACCAGAGGGAGACCAGAGAGAGAGACCAGAGAAGGACCAGAGAGAGACCAGAGAGAGACCAGAAAGAGACCAGAGAAAGACCTGAGAGAGACCAGAGGGAGACCAGAGAGAGAGACCAGAGAAGGACCAGAGAGAGACCAGAGAGAGACCAGAAAGAGACCAGCGAAAGACCTGAGAGAGACCAGAGAGAGACCAGAGAGAGACCAGAAAGAGACCAGCGAAAGACCTGAGAGAGACCAGAGAGAGACCAGAGAGAGAGACCAGAGAGAGACCAGAGAGAGAGACCAGAGAGAGAGACCAGAGAGAGAGACCAGAGAGAGAGACCAGAGAGAGACCAGAGAGAGACCAGAGAGAGAGAGACACACCATCTGCAGTAAACATTGAACCCGTTTGTCTCGCGTTGTTAATGAGTTTTAATGAGTTTTAATGTTGTGGATTATCGGGTTTGTGTCCAGGACTCTCCCAGAGTCTCCTCCAGACTCCAGCTCAGAGCCGTACTCTCCTCAGCAGGTGAATGGTGAGTTCTACACACGACAACAACAGCTGCAGGAGGTCTGTAGTTTAGGCCTCATCAATACCAGATAATTCAATGATAATGAATGTATGATCTATGGTGTTTGGTCCTTACTCTACATGTAACTACTGACACTCTCAGCCAATCAGCTCTCAGCCAATTAGCTCTCAGTCACAGATGCAGTGTTTTCTAATACGCTGAAGACGACATGTTACTTAAGCAAGATTCTCTCTGAAGGACCCGCAACATTTATTTATGAAACAACCAAACGTTACTCAATTATTACTGTTGGATAGATAGGTTAGAGATAGGGGGAGAGAGAGAGAGGGAGACAGAGAGAGAGAGACAGAGAGAGAGACCAGAGAGAGAGACCAGAGAGAGAGAGAGAGAGAGAGACAGAGAGAGAGAGAGACAGAGAGAGAGAGAGACAGACAGAGGGAGAGAGAGACAGAAGGAGAGAGACACAGAGAGAGAGAGACACAGAGAGAGAGACAGAGAGACAGAGAAAGAGGGACAGAGATACAGAGACAGAGGGAGAAAGAGAGAGAGAGAAAGAGAGAGAGAGAGAGATCTGTTACAGTCTAAATCCTGGTGTTTTTCTGACTCTAAAATAACTGCTGTTCCTCACGTCTCTCAGATCCCCACATGATCCGGACCATGACTCCAGAGAACATGTGTCACATGACCCCGCCCCTCCCTCCGGGACACTACCCCAACATGCAGAGGGACCTGTTCCTGAAGCCGGAGCCCATGGTCACACAGTACTCTCTGGGGCCCACCACCAGCACCGGGGACCTGAGCCAGGGCCACATGCTGCACCACCTCATGCAGCACCCACAGGGACAGGAGTGAGCACCACACAGGGGGAGGGATAGGGGAGGGAGAGGGGGGAGAGAGACAGGGCAACATGCTGCACCACCTCATGCAGCACCCACAGGGACAGGAGTGAGCACCACACAGGGGGGAGAGGGGGAGAGAGGGAGACAGGAGTGAGGACCACACAGGGGGGAGGGAGGGAGGATGAGGGAGAGGGGAGGGAGGGAGGGAGGGAGAGGGGAGAAGGACACAAGAGTGAGGACCACACAGGGGGAGGGAGAGGGGTGCTGCTAACAGCAGTGATGCTAACAGCAGTGATAACTGTCTAATTATCAGGGCACTTAGATAAATGCATAGAAATCTATCCATTACAAACAAATAAATACATAATTCTAAAAGTGACGAACAACAGTAACAAAGTGAAGCAGCAGCTGATGATGAGCTGCTTCCTCTGTTTGGTTTGGATCATTCTCTCTGCTCTGGTTCAGAGTGAAATTTTGAATGCTTTATTACCATTTAAGAAAAGCTTTGCCTCTATCTCTCTGCTTGCAATCAGACATTGCTCCACTAGTATCATGTGTTTAATGTATGTTGTTTTGTGTTTTGTTTGTGTGGCAGTGGAATCCCTGCTCATGCGGCCAAGAAGAGGAAGCACACGGACTCTCCCACCAGCTCTCTGAACGCTAACCTCCTCTCAGGTATCATCAAACAGGAACCAGGTAGGCTCTGTCCTCTCTGCTGCTCTCTGGCCTGTCAGTGTCCGTGCAGTGCCAAGTCTTCTACCAAACTTCTTCTCAACGCGCGCCACACTCACTGTTACATTTATATGTGTTTGTGTCTTTGTTTATGGCCAGGTCTGATGCAGGACTCGGACAGTTCCTACATGGATCCAAACTATCAGTGCATCAAGTGGCAGCCGCACCAGCAGAGCAAGTGGAGCCCTCTGTACGACGCAGACTGCAAAGAACTGTGGGTAGATTTAACAGCAGTGTCTGTTTAGGGAGCAGCGCCTGCAGTCAGAGCTCTAGCCCCCTCCCTCACCTTTGGTCATGAGGGGGCAGCGTCTGCAGTCAGAGCTCTAGCCCCCTCCCTCACCTCTGGTCATGAGGGAGTAGCATCTTCAGTCAGAGCTCTAGCCCCCTCCCTCACCTCTGGTCATGAGGGAGTAGCATCTACAGTCAGAGCTCTAGCCCCCTCCCTCACCTCTGGTCATGAGGGAGTAGCATCTGCAGTCAGAGCTCTAGCCCCCTCCCTCACCTCTGGTCATGAGGGAATAGCATCTGCAGTCAGAGCTCTAGCCCCCTCCCTCACCTCTGGTCATGAGGGAGTAGCATCTGCAGTCAGAGCTCTAGCCCCCTCCCTCACCTCTGGTCATGAGGGAATAGCATCTGCAGTCAGAGCTCTAGCCCCCTCCCTCACCTCTGGTCATGAGGGAGTAGCATCTGCAGTCAGAGCTCTAGCCCCCTCCCTCACCTCTGGTCATGAGGGAGTAGCATCTACAGTCAGAGCTCTAGCCCCCTCCCTCACCTCTGGTCATGAGGGAGTAGCATCTGCAGTCAGAGCTCTAGCCCCCTCCCTCACCTCTGGTCATGAGGGAGTAGCATCTGCAGTCATAGCTCTAGCCCCCTCCCTCACCTCTGGTCATGAGGGAGTAGCATCTGCAGTCAGAGCTCTAGCCCCCTCCCTCACCTCTGGTCATGAGGGAGAAGCATCAGAACTATCTTGGTGTGGCCCATATTTACCTGGGGTTGACATGGGCAACAAACACCTTCAGAACCAGGAAGTATGGCAAGCAGCAGACGCAATATGAGCAGAGGTTTTATAGTAAACTACCGCCCCCTACTGCTGGGCCAACCTCAATACATGGCCATAGCCCACATTATCACTCTCCAGTACTATTCCAATGTGGTTTTACTGCAAACTACAAACAAACTGAATGCAAATCGATGGATCCCATGCAGTAAATCTGGCTGCGGCCCCAAGGCCAGGGCCGGGGCTGGTGATGGCAGATGTCTACGTACACTTTATAGCCATCTCTAAAAGCTCTGGAGCAGGGTATGGACGTGGGGTTGGGCAGTGGGAGATTGGAGCACATTCCAGAGGAGTGAGAGGTGCGTGGGAGTCCAGGGTTTCGGCTCAGAACGGGGAGTAGGGAAAAGTTAGTGTGCACCTTCAGATGCCAGAGTCAAAAGAAAGCAGGGAGGGAGGTTAGCCTGAACTCTGAGGACTCTTATCAGCGCCATCTGTTTATCACACGCCATTGCATCCATCTGAAAAGTCACATCTCAACTGCTTTGTTTGAGTTGAACAGAGAATCCTTTAGCGAGAGCACGGGGGGTTTTCATGCCCAGTGCAGAGGAGCGAGCGGCCACGATACGGCGGTTTAATCTATATACATATTTATGAAGTTTTACATGTATGTTAGGCCTCTGTCACGTGTTTAGATCTGCTTTTTCAGACACAGAAGTCTCTCTCTCTCTCTCTCTGGTCTCTCTCTCTCTCGTCTCTCCCTCTGGTCTCTCTCTCTGGTCTCTCTCTCTCTTGTCTCTCTCTCTCTCTGGTCTCTCTCTGGTCTCTCCCTCTGGTGTCTCTCTCTCTGGTCTCTCTCTCTGGTCTCTCTCTCTCTGGTCTCTCTCTTTCTGGTCTCTCTCTCTGGTCTCTCTCTGGTCTCTCTCTCTGGTCTCTAGTCTCTCTCTGGTCTTACTAGTTTTCACATTAGACCTCTGTCACGTGTTTAGATCTCCTTTTTTAGACACAGAAGTTGAAAATAGAGGACCACCCTCATCAGCCCTCAGCCCACAGAGTCAAATAGTGACTCTCAGGGCTCTTATACAGTATTTTATGTGTTTAGATCAACTTTTTCAGACAGGCAACAGAGTACCAGCCCTGTCTCAGCCAATCAGCTCTCAGCATGTAGCAGATTTGTTTATAAAATGGTACTTACTTCTTTATTGAGACACGCAAAATGACAAAACAAAAACCTTTTCTGCTTAAATGCGTAGTTTGAGTGGTTCCTCTCTGATGCAGGAGGCAGGCATGTCCAAACCAAGGCCCGCGGCCCAAATGCCACTGTTTTATTATGTGGCCCTCTGCCTTGCTAATACAAACTATCCATTGAGTCACTTTCACACAGTCATTCAGCCAACTTCAGCTCCACCAAGATATATACTCATACTGCATCTCATGGTAAAGCTCCCAAGTCCGGTGAACTAAAGTGGCCCTCCTACTAAAAAGTTTGGACACCCCTGGTTTTAGGACAGTGAGAATCCGAGACCTTTATGGACATTTATGAACTTTTCTGGACAGTGGTCTCTGATCCGCGACCGGGACGAAGCTGGATCAATCTGAACCAGCTCTATACTCTCCATCGGATACTCGAGGGTTCATGGGAGTTCGCCCAACCTGTCCACATGTGCTTTGTGGATTTGGAGAAGGCGTTCGACTGTGTTCCCCGGGGTGTCCTTTGGGGGGTCCTCCGGGAGTACGGGGTCCGGGGTCCTCTGCTGAGGGCTGTTCGGTCCCTGTATGACCGGAGTCAGAGCTGTGTTCGCATTGCCGGCAGTAAGTCAGACCTGTTCCCGGTGCATGTTGGCCTCCGACAGGGCTGCCCTTTGTCACCGGTTCTGTTCACTGTATTTATGGACAGAATTTCTAGGCGCAGCCAAGGGCCGGAGGGGGTCCGGTTCGGGAACCACAGGATTTCATCTCTACTTTTTGCGGACGATGTCGTCCTGCTGGCTCAAACGAACCAGGACCTGCAGCATGCACTGGGACGGTTTGCAGCCGAGTGCGAAGCGGCTGGGATGAGAATCAGCACCTCCAAATCCGAGCCCATGGTGCTCGACCGGAAAAAGGTGCCTTGCCCTCTTCAGGTGGGTGGAGAGGTCCTTCCTCAAGTGGAGGAGTTCAAGTATCTCGGGGTCTTGTTCACAAGTGAGGGGAGGATGGAGCGTGAGATTGACAGGCGGATCGGTGCAGCGTGCGCAGTTATGCGGTCGCCGTATCGGACCGTTGTGGTGAAGAGGGAGCTGAGCCGAAAGGCAAAGCTCTCGATTTACCGGTCAATCTTCTTTCCCTCCCTCACCTATGGTCATGAGCTTTGGGTAATGACCGAAAGAACGAGATCGCGGATACAAGCGGTCGAAATGAGCTTCCTCCGCAGAGTGGCTGGGCGCTCCCTTAGAGATAGGGTGAGGAGCTCGGTCACACGGGAGGAGCTCGGAGTAGAGCCGCTGCTTCTCCACGTCGAGAGGAACCAGTTGAGGTGGCTCGGGCATCTGTTCAGGATGCCTCCTGGACGCCTTCCTGGGGAGGTGTTCCGGGCACGTCCCAACGGGAGGAGGCCCCGGGGAAGACCCAGGACACGCTGGAGAGACTATGTCTCTCAGCTGGCCTGGGAACGCCTTGGGGTCCCCCCGGACGAGCTGGAGGAAGTGTGTGTGGATAGGGAAGTCTGGGCGTCTCTGCTTAGACTGCTGCCCCCGCGACTCGGCAACGGATAAAGCAGAAGAAAATGGATGGATGGATGGTCTCTGATCCAGTGTGGGCGGGTCCCAGCTCAACAAGGTCCATGAGCACGTGCACTGACATGCTTCTGACTCCGTGTCGGTGGGGGTGTACCCGGAAACAGAATTATCCATTGTAATCTTATGACACCTTTCCTCTCGAAAACCTCTTTACAGGATGGTCCAAAAGTGGTTCTTGGTCCTAAAGTATCTCTTGGTCCTAAAGTGGTTTTTGGTCCAAAAGTGGCTCTTGGTCCAACATGTTTTTTTCACCATTTTCCTGAGGGAGGGGCTGCCAGCGGCCATTTTGAAAAAGTTGGCAGGAGGGAACAGTAATGACACCGATGTTTCAGTCCATGGTTGGAACAGTTTGATTCTCTGTGTGTAAAGTCCTCTGGGTCCTTTGCTGTTGTGATTGACAGTTTTACACATTTGAGTTGAATAGTTGTATTTCTCTGTTTCAGGCCAATGCCCACGTACAGAGTGGACGCAGACAAAGGCTTTAACTTCTCGCTGGCTGACGATGCGTTCGTGTGTCAGAAGAAGAACCACTTCCAGGTGACGGTGTACATCGGGATGCTAGGAGACCCCAAGTACATCAAGACTCAGGAGGGACTGCAGCCCATCGACTGCTTCTACCTCAAACTGAACGGTGTCAAGGTGAGACACCGCTTCACCCTCTTCACCTGTCATTAGATGGATTTTATTAAGATAAGATAAACTTTATTAATCTCTGATGGAGAAATGTACATGTCACATTTGGCACAGATAGAATCACAGTTCAAAAGACAGAATGTTTAAAAATATACTGTAGTCTGTACAGGATATATAATTATGTACAATAAAACGTGGCAATAGCAGTGCAGTTTTTTTCAGTCCTCGTGCATTAGTGACTTAAAGTGACTTGTTGTACAGTCTGACAGCGGAGGGGATAACGGCCCTGAGGTAGCGCTCCTTCTTACAAAGTTAAAGTTAGGTACCCGAGCTTTAAGTTGCATTGTTTGTGTTTAGGTTGAGGCCATGAACCAGTCCATCAGTGTGGAGCAGTCCCAGTCGGACCGCAGCAAGAGGCCCTTCAAACCAGTGCTGTAAGTGTTCACACCGGTACCTTTGAACCCGTTTGGAGTTTTCCAAAGTGGTTTTAGTGTGAGACATGTGAAGGAGAGGTTTGCCCATCTCTAAACAGGAACGTTGGGGCGGAACGAAAAATTACCTACTTTACGTCACTGTCGATAGTTAGCGCTTTACGTCACTGTCGATAGTTAGCACTTTATGTCACTGTTGATAGTTAGCACTTTATGTCACTGTCAATAGTTAGCACTTTATGTCACTGTCAAGCACTTTACGTCACTGTCAATAGTTAGCACTTTATGTCACTGTCAATAGTTAGCACTTTACGTCACTGTCGATAGTTAGCACTTTACGTCACTGTCGATAGTTAGCACTTTACGTCACTGTCGATAGTTAGCACTTTACGTCACTGTTGATAGTTAGCGCTTTACGTCACTGTCGATAGTTAGCGCTTTACGTCACTGTCGATAGTTAGCACTTTACGTGACTGTCGATAGTTAGCACTTTACGTCACTGTCGATAGTTAGCACTTTACGTGACTGTCGATAGTTAGCACTTTACGTCACTGTCGATAGTTAGCACTTTACGTCACTGTCGATAGTTAGCACTTTACGTCACTGTCGATAGTTAGCACTTTATGTCACTGTCGATAGTTAGCGCTTTACGTCACTGTCGATAGTTAGCACTTTACGTCACTGTCGATAGTTAGCACTTTATGTCACTGTCGATAGTTAGCACTTTACGTCACTGTCGATAGTTAGCTCTTTACTCTAGTTTTCCACGGAAAAAGTAGCTTGGTTGCTTTGTAAAGTGTTTCACTCATCGCTTGGGATGAATAATAAAGAGTTAAAAAAAATTCTGAATCTGAATCCTCTCCATGAATCCAGATCCAGGTTTTTGTTCTGTAAGTAAGTCATGTTTATTTATATAGCACATTTTACATCAAGGTCACCCAAAGCACTTTATAATGTTCAGATATTGTTCCATTCTCTCCACACGGTGATGAAGCGAGACCTGAACACACATTCAGAACTATTGTACATGTTTTTAGTGGTAGGGGAAACCGGAGCACCTGGAGGAAACATGCACAGACACGGGGAGAACATGCAAACTCCACTCAAAAAGGCCCTATTCCGACCGGGGCTTGAACCCTTGACCTTCTTGCTGAGAAGAGAGAGTGCTAACCACTCAGCCACCGTGTCGTCTGTCTCTTCAGGGTCACGCTGCCGCCGGAGCAGGTTACCAAGGTTACGGTGGGACGACTGCACTTCAGCGAAACCACCGCCAACAACATGAGGAAGAAGGGGAAGCCCAACCCCGACCAGAGGTACTGCAGGAACCGGTACTACAGGGACTGGTACTGCAGGGACTGGTACTGCAGGGACTGGTACTGCAGGGACTGGTACTACAAGGACTGGTACTGCAGGGACTGGTACTACAGGGACTGGTACTGCAGGGACTGGTACTGCAGGGACTGGTTCTACAGGGACTGGTACTGAAGACAGTGGTACTACAGGGACTGGTACTGCAGGGACTGGTACTGCAGGGACTGGTACTACAAGGACTGGTACTGCAGGGACTGGTACTGCAGGGACTGGTACTGAAGACAGTGGTACTACAGGGACTGGTACTACAGGGACTGGTACTACAGGGACTGGTACTACAGGGACTGGTACTGCAGGGACTGGTACTACAGGGACTGGTACTACGGGGACTGGTACTACAGGGACTGGTACTGAAGAGAGTGGTACTACAGGAACCAATACAACAGGAACTGGTACCAGTCCTTTATGGTGTGTGTATGTGTGTTACCAGTCCTTTATGGTCCTGTGTGTGTGTGTGTTACCAGTCCTTTATGTTGTGTGTGTGTGTGTGTGTTACCAGTCCTTTATGGTCCTGTGTGTGTGTGTGTGTGTGTTACCAGTCCTTTATGTTGTGTGTATGTGTGTTACCAGTCCTTTATGGTCCTGTGTGTGTGTGTGTGTGTTACCAGTCCTTTATGTTGTGTGTATGTGTGTTACCAGTCCTTTATGGTCCTGTGTGTGTGTGTGTGTTACCAGTCCTTTATGTTGTGTGTGTGTGTGTGTTACCAGTCCTTTATGTTGTGTGTGTGTGTGTTACCAGTCCTTTATGGTGTGTGTGTGTGTTTACTGCAGGTACTTCATGCTGGTGGTGGCGCTGCACGCTCAGGCGCTCTCTCAGAGCTACACGGTGGCGGCTCAAGTGTCGGAGAGGATCATCGTCAGGGTAACATCCTGTTTCTATGTAAATATGAAGGACCATCATTTACTCCATATTCACCTCTGATTGTTCCTCTGCACCATGTGTTTGCTTTCTCTATGTTTTGGTGTGTTAGAAATTAAACTCCGGTCAATTATTATTTCCTACGTCTGGGTCTGATCCTAGTGGCTGCAGTTACTTGTACTTTGGTTGAATCTTCTCCGACCAATCAGAGAGCAGGGGAGGCGGGTGTTGTAGGTCGGTGTCGGTGACGTCATAATATGCAGCTAAAACACGCTACAGCAGAATCCACAGAAGCAGAGAACCAGTGACAGATGCACGCCACATTCTGATGGTGAAAATGATTATTAGTGAAAAGTATTATTAGTGAAAAGTATTATTAGTAAAAATTATTATTACTAAAAAATATTATTAGTGAAAAGTATTATTAGTGAAAAGTATTATTAGTGAAAAGTATTATTAGTGAAAAGTATTATTAGTGAAAATTATTATTAGTGAAAAGTATTATTAGTGAAAAGTATTATTACTGAAAATTATTATTAGTGAAAAGTATTATTAGTGAAAAGTATTATTAGTGAAAAGTATTATTAGTGAAAAGTATTATTAGTGAAAATTATTATTAGTGGAAATTATTATTAGTGGAAATTATTATTAGTGAGAATATGCTAAATAATGACTAAATATACTCTCCTCAGATCCACAGCACACTGCTCCTCGTCCAGTCTGGACGGTTCTTTCATAGGAAAAAGATTTTGTATGTTTTTGTGTATTTTTTAAGAAGCAGGAGCACAGTGTCTGAGTGGTTAGCCTTCTTGCTTCTCAAACACAAAGATCGATGCCACCTCTGGACAGGGAGTTTGCATGTTCTCCCTGTGTAGCACTATCGCTGCCCTCTCTCTGAGGCCGTGGGCTCAGAGGCTAAAAATGCTCATAAAGATGTATTAAGGCGAGGAAGTAGGATGTCGAGATTCCAGAAGTATGAGGCCTCAGTTCAGCCGCTGTGGTTCAATTTATTACTAATCACTTTTTATTAAAGGTGAACTGCGTAACTTTCTTGGTGGAGGTTCTGTTTCTCTATGTTCCATGAATGCTCCACAGATTTGTCGCAACATATTTAATCTACGACTCTGACTGTGATACTAAAGGACATGTGCCAATCAAAACCGTCTCTATGGCAACAAGCAGGAAGTGGACCCATCAGAAAAGATACACAATCACCTTTAAAGTAATACAAGACCCTGTTACTAATATGAATCTGTATTTATTTATACTTTTATTGCGCAACATTACTTCTTAGTCCGAGTCGCCAAAACAAACGACTGAGATGAACTGTTTATGTGATTAGCCCTGTTTCCACCTGCTCTACAACACTCTAGTCCGCTCTCTACTTTACTCTACCAGGCCGAGCTGGTACTAAAGTCTTCTAACTGGCAGTGATTGGTCAGATTGCTGCTGGCCATAGTTACCAGGGAAACCTATGCACCAAAGCACTGGTTTTGGTGCATAGGTTGCTGGGATACGGTGCCAGATAGTACCAATCCAAACAGAACCAGATAGAGCCGAGCAGAGCAGATGGAAACAGGGCTTTTGTCCAAATATGTCTCCAGCAGAAGATGTATCAGTGTTGTTCTGATTGTTATGTACAGTGTTCACGTGAATCCATCCTGTGTGTGTGTGTATGGGTGTGTGTGTAACCATGTGTGTGTGTCTGTGTTCCTAACCATGTGTGTGTCTGTGTGTTCCTAACTGTGTGTGTGTGTCTGTGTTCCTAACCATGTGTGTGTCTGTGTGTTCCTAACCATGTGTGTGTGTCTGTGTTCCTAACCATGTGTGTGTCTGTGTGTTCCTAACCATGTGTGTATGGGTGTATGTTCCTAACCATGTGTGTGTCTTTGTGTTCCTAAACTTGTGTGTGTGTAACCATGTGTGTGTGTGTCTGTGTAACGGTGTGTGTGTCTGTCTGTGTGTGTGTGTGTGTCTGTGCGTGTGTGTGTCTGTGTGTGTGCGTGTGTGACCATGTGTGTGTCTGTGTGTGTAACCATGTGTGTAACCATGTGTGTGTGTGTGTGTGTGTGTATGTGTAACCATGTGTGTAACCATGTGTGTGTGTGTGTGTATGTGTAACCATGTGTGTAACCATGTGTGTGTGTGTGTGTGTCTGTGTGTGTAACCATGTGTGTGTGTGTGTGTGTGTCTGTGTGTGTGTAACCATGTGTGTAACCGTGTGTGTGTGTGTGTGTGTATGTGTAACCATGTGTGTGTGTGTGTGTGTGTCTGTGTGTGTAACCATGTGTGTAACCATGTGTGTGTATGTGTAACTATGTGTGTAACCATGTGTGTAACCATGTGTGTGTGTGTGTCTGTGCGTGTAACCATGTGTGTAACCATGTGTGTCTGTGTGTGTGTGTTTATGTGTAACCATGTGTGTGTGTGTGTGTGTGTAACCATGTGTGTGTGTCTGTGCGTGTAACCATGTGTGTAACCATGTGTGTAACCATGTGTGTGTGTGTGTGTGTGTGTGTGTAACCATGTGTGTAACCATGTGTGTGTGTGTGTGCACTTGTTTTCAACTCCTGGTGGGTTCCATAACCTGAGATTCCACTCACGTCATGGGGACTGGTTTTACGTGGTGGGGCCCGAACACCGGACCCCACTGGTCCAAGCTTAATAATCAATGGGTAATGCTTTTCTAACGGTCCTTATGCAGTCTCTGTAAAAATATGGAAAGGACCCCTGGAGGTTTACTTTCCTGAAAAAAGTGTGTTATGTGTCGGAACCCTGGTGGTGGGTTGCGGGATATCAAGGAGGGGCACACTGGGGCAATTTCAGTCCAGCAGGCTGGAGCCAATCATGGAGCAGCACAACAGAGGAAATCAGGTGTCAGGCTAGAAAAAGGTGCAAGTGTGTGGTTCATTAGGCTGCAAGAAATCATGGAGGAGCACACTGAAGCGCACGCTTACAAACCACTGGTAAGTGCTGACTACAAGTCATGACTTCAAATTGTTATATAGAATGATTACAAATTATTTGTTGTTTGTGCAGCTTAGTCAAGAGTCCCTAATTGATGAAGTCGACTCAGATTCTGACGATTTAACTTTCAAGAAGAAACCTGTAAAAAAGTATGGAAAAAGAAAAATCAAAAACACTTTTCTTCAAGACTCGGAAAGTGACGAACCAAAGGCAAATAAGATTGTTATCATGCAGCTGCAAAAGAAGAAAAATGGGGGGCGAGTATACAGCAAGAGACACTTCTGCCTCTACTGTTCAATGTCCTGCCACAAAATGTCCCGTCATTTGACTAGAAAACATGGAAATGAAAGTGACGTAGCCAGAGCATTGGCTCTACCTGTGAAATCTAAAGCACGTAAACTTCAGTTTGATTTGATCAGGAATAGTGGAAACCGTGAGCACAATTTTGAGGTTTTAAAGGCCGGCATTGGAACTTTAGTCCCAGCTAAACAGCCAAATTCCCCAGTTAAATCCAGTGAGTTTTTGCACTGTATAGACTGTGGGGCATTGCTTAAGCGAAAGTCGCTGTGGAGGCATGTGGCCAGGTGCCGGCTTTCACAGAAAGATGCCCAGGCTAAACCAGGTAGAAGTAGGGTCCAGTCCCTCTGCTCCCTAGCCCAGCCTGTACCGGAGGGCATCAGCAAAAAGCTGTGGTCTTTAATTTCGGCAATGCATCAGGATGAGGTCACGGGTGTTGTCAAAGCAGAAAAGGGGATTCTGAGACTCGGAGAGCACCTGTACTTAAAACACGGGCATGATAAGACAAAGCATGATTACATTAGGCAGAAAATGAGAGAAGTCGGTAGGTTAATTAACGAAGCAAAAACCGCAGGGAAACTGAAAACAATTAAGGATTTCTTTATTCCTTCCAACTTTAACCATGTGATTGATGCAGTCAGGTCTGTGGTGGGATATGATGAGGAAACAAATCAATACAAGACTCCATCCTTGGCCCTCAAACTCGGCCATAGCCTCAGAAAGCTAGCAGATATTCTTGAATGTGACTCAAAAATGGAGCATTGTGTTGATGAACTATTTATTAAAAACCTCCAACGAAGCCGGCTGCTTTTTGAGAAGAGGTGGGACGTCTGTGTTTCTTCTGCTGCCCTACAGACCCTCCGGCAAGCCAAGTGGAACACTCCGGACCTGCTCCCTCTGACTGAGGACGTTAGAGCCATGCATGCACATATTGAGGTATGTCGACCTGAATATGTGCAAACCCTAATAAGTGAGCCAACGTCTAAGCATTGGTCTAAACTGGCAGTTTTGACTCTTTGTGAGGTCATCATTTTCAATCGAAGAAGGGAAGGTGAGGTTTCAAAGATGCCACTGACAGCCTTTACCTTAAGAAGTAAGACTGGGATCCATTCTGACATTGCTCTGGGACTGTCCCAACTTGAGAAAAAGCTGTGTCAGCATTTTCAACGCATTGAAATTAAAGGGAAAAGAAGTCGGAAAGTGCCGGTTCTTTTGACTCCTGAAATGATTGCTTCGATGGAGGTGCTGGTGGAGAACAGAAGGGCCTGTTCCATCTCTGACCATAACCCATACTTCTTTTCCCGCCCGGGCGCAGACACCCACATCAGGGGATCAGACTCCCTACGCCAGGTAGCCAAAGAATGTGGTGCGGTGCATCCAGAGATGCTATCCTCAACCAAACTTAGAAAGCACATAGCTACTATGTCTACAGTTCTCAATATGAAAGAGAATGAGATGGACATACTTGCCAACTTCCTCGGCCATGACATTCGCATCCACAGGCAATATTACAGACTACCAGAGGGGACACTGGAGCTGGCCAAAATCAGCAAAGTGTTGATGGCCATGGAGCAGGGAAGAGTGACGGAATTCGAAGGAAAGAGCCTCGACCAGATACAAATTGAGCCTGAAGGTAATTCTTGATATTATTAAAATATGTATGATTTTTTTTCCCTAAAGGCCACTTGTATTTTTATTTTCTGTGCGACAGGGAGAGCAGTAGAGATCCTCTCACAAACGGACGGGCTAAAAGAAACTTCAAGCGGAGAACCTTCAACCATTCATCCAGATGCACCCCATGGTAGTGGCAGTGCCCCTTCTGGTAAGTGTACCAGGTGGGGGATTACAGCCAGGCTGCTTGGTCCTAACCCTGGGAGTGTATATTGCTAATATATTTTTATTTCTCTCCCTAGAACGTGTAAGAAAGCCATGGTCTGCATCTGAGGTGAAGGCTGTGGAGAAGACCATGACACCTTTCATACAGACTGGAAAGGTCCCTGGGAAGTCTCACTGCCTGGCCTGCATTAATGCCTCACCAGATGACCTTAGACATCGGACATGGAGTGGCATTAAATTCTATGTCAAAAATAGAATCACTGCAATTCGAAAACAAAATCTAAAATAAAATTCCTTTAAAATAGTTGTTTGGTTTCTATTGACTGTTTTGTATTACTTAAAGTCTTGGTAAAAAAAGATTATGTCTATGGGTCCCATTCTGAACGGCCCTGTCAAAGGGACCCACCAGGTAACAAAAACGTGTATGTGTGTGTGTGTGTGTGTGTGTGTGTGTGTAACCATGTGTGTAACCATGTGTGTGTGTGTGTGTGTCTGTGCGTGTAACCATGTGTGTAACTTTGTGTGTCTGTGTGTGTGTGTTTATGTGTAACCATGTGTGTGTGTGTGTGTGTAACCATGTGTGTGTGTGTGTGTGTGTGTGTGTGTGTGTAACCATGTGTGTAACCGTGTGTGTGTGTGTGTGTGTGTCTGTGCGTGTAACCATGTGTGTAACTTTGTGTGTCTGTGTGTGTGTGTTTATGTGTAACCATGTGTGTGTGTGTGTGTGTAACCATGTGTGTGTGTGTGTGTAACCATGTGTGTAACCATGTGTGTGTGTGTGTGTGTGTGTGTCTGTGCGTGTAACCATGTGTGTAACCCTGTGTGTCTGTGTGTGTGTGTGTGTGTAACCATGTGTGTGTAACCATGTGTGTGACCATGTGTGTGTGTCTGTGCGTGTAACCATGTGTGTAACCATGTGTGTGTGTGTGTGTGTGTGTGTGTGTAACCATGTGTGTAACCATGTGTGTGTGTGTGTGTGTGTATGTGTAACCATGTGTGTAACCATGTGTGTGTGTGTGTGTGTATGTGTAACCATGTGTGTAACCATGTGTGTAACCATGTGTGTGTGTGTGTCTGTGCGTGTGTGTATGTGTAACCATGTGTGTAACCATGTGTGTGTGTGTGTATGTGTAACCATGTGTGTAACCATGTGTGTGTGTGTATGTGTAACCATGTGTGTAACCATGTGTGTGTGTGTGTAACCATGTGTGTGTGTGTGTCCGCAGGCCTCTAACCCCGGTCAGTTTGAGAGTGACTCTGAGGTGCTGTGGCAGCGAGGGCAGCTGCAGGACTCTGTTTTCCATCACGGCAGAGTTGGCATCAACACGGATCGTCCCGACGAGGCGCTGGTCGTCCACGGCAACATGAAGGTCATGGGCTCCGTGGTCCACCCCTCTGACCTGCGCACCAAGGAGAACGTGCAGGAGGTGAGGGCCTGGTTAGTGCTGTGATGGGAGACCACTGGGATCAAGTGACACAGTGGGGCGGCTGTAAAGTGAGAGGAAGCAGAGAGCAGAGGAAGAGAGAGGAAGAAGAGAGAGAGGAGCAGAGAGAGGAGCAGAGAGAGCAGAAAGAGAGAGGAGGAGAGAGGAGGAAGATAGAGGAGAGAAGAGAGCTACCAGTTATTACCACGTATTTGATCATTTTTCCTGCATTAAACATTTATAGTAAAGACTCAGAAGCGAATCGTTCAGGATCATGTGTTAAATCCTTTGGGGAGATACTGAAAGGAGGTGGAGCGCTGCAGGTTGGAGTCCCTTGTTGAAAGGAGGTGGAGCGCTGCAGGTTGGAGTCCCTTGTTGAAAGGAGGTGGAGCGCTGCAGGTTGGAGTCCCTTGTTGAAAGGAGGTGGAGCGCTGCAGGTTGGAGTCCCTTGTTGAAAGGAGGTGGAGCGCTGCAGGTTGGAGTCCCTTGTTGAAAGGAGGTGGAGCGCTGCAGGTTGGAGTCCCCTGTTGAAAGGAGGTGGAGCGCTGCAGGTTGGAGTCCCCTGTTGAAACGAGGTGGAGCTGAAGACCAAACCCCTCTCTGTGACTTCCAGGTGGACACCACAGATAACCTGAAGCGGATCTCTCAGATGAGGCTGGTGCATTATCAGTTCAAGCCTGAGTTTGCTGCCACTGTGGGGATCGACAGCACCGCAGAGACGGGTCAGGCTTCACCGCACTCTCTCCTTTATCACCGTGTTGTCATTATATATATTTAACTCTTAAGGCGCCACACAATCATTTTACTATTTATCTGACCTTATAGAACAGTGTGTGTTCTGTGTGTGTGCATGTCCTAGTGATGTGTGTCTGCCAATAAGAAAAGATAAGATAAACATTTTTGATCTCACAACGGAGATATTTACATTACTTTAGGAACTGTGAAACATGTCAAAGGTTAAAAATATAGTCTGTGCAGGATATAATCACTGTATGTACAATAAAAAAGTGTAAATAGCAGCTGGTTCTTCAGTCCTAGTGCAGTTAAAAAACATATATTTCAGGAAAATCCACAATTGCCACCACCGTACGAAGTCACAATATGCAAATGAGATGGGTACATTTAATTCCTACATAAACTTTGAACCATCCTTATCATTTCTCCAATTAACACAAAGCTTCTATCTCTTATCACTTTGAAGTTATTAGGAAATGAAAATGTGAAAGTTGAGCCTGTTAGGGTTAAAGTGTGGGCTCCTCTCTGACAGGCGTGATCGCTCAGGAGGTGCAGAAGATTCTCCCTGAAGCCGTGAAAGAAGGAGGAGACGTGGTCTGCGCTAACGGGGAGACCATTCCCAATCTGCTGATGGTCAACAAGGTACAGTCCCCTGGATATATTTGCTTTTAGGAACAGTTTAATGCAGCAGAATGAAGAGGGGATACAAAGTAACTCTCAGGACATTGGACGGAGCTCAATGTGGTTTTTATTCTAAAGAAGCATGAGTAGATGTTGAGAAATCGTTTTAGTTTGGTCTTTGTCGTTTTGCCGTTAGCAGCACTTAGAATCTAGCTGTGGGTTAATGTAACAGACATAAAGAAGGAGGCACAGAAGAAGACAACGTCAAAGAGCACGTTAAAGTTACAAGATACTACAGAGACATACAGAAGGACGGGGCCACAGTGGCTCAGTCGGTACAGCATTGGTCTTTGATGGTTGTGGGCTGCTGGTGTTGTGTCCTTGGGCAAGACACTACTTTGCCTGAAGCCTCCGCGGAAAGACCAAGGTCGTGTTTTTGTTGACGTGTTTTTGTTGAACTCGAGGATCAGAGAGAGGCTTGAGCTTTGAGACTTGGATGGCTGCTCCAAATGCCACCGACCCAGAAATAAGATTAATAAGAATGAAAATGAATGAATGAACAAGGACAAGACCTTAGCTTCATGGTGTTGTATCAGGAGAGACAGAGAGAGGGGTCAGAGGTCCATACACACTAAGAAGACCTATAAACTGACCTTTAGCTTTCATTCCGTCCACTTTATCTATATTGGACAAACATAGATACATGTAGAATAATGCAGAGGACCACTTTAGCTTTAACATGAGGTATGACGGGCCAGTACGATCCATCTGTCTGTGTGTGTTGGGGACAGGAGCGGATCTTCATGGAGAACGTGGGCGCGGTGAAGGAGCTGTGTAAACTCACTGATAATCTGGAAACACGGATCGACGAATTAGAACGATGGAGCCGCAAACTCGCCAAACTGAGACGTCTGGACAGTATGAAGAGCACCGTGAGCGTGGGCACGGCCAGGTCAGAAGGAAGAGGGGGAGAGAGAGGGGAGAGAGGGGAGAGACAGAGAGACACACACAGAGAGAGAGACAGTATAAAGAGCACCGTGAGCGTGGGCACGGCCAGGTCAGAAGGAAGAGGGGGAGAGAGAGGGGAGAGAGAGGGGAGAGAGGGGAGAGACAGAGACACACAGAGAGAGAGAGACAGTATGAAGAGCACCGTGAGCGTGGGCACGGCCAGGTCAGAAGGAAGAGGGGGAGAGAGGGGAGAGACAGAGAGATAGAGAGAGAAAGAAAAAGAGAGAGGAGGGAGAGAGAGAGGGAGGGAGAGAGAGAGAAAGAGAGAGGGGGAGGAGGGAGATAGAGGGGGGAGAGAGAGAGAGATGGGGCAGCAAAGAGAGGGAGGGAGGGAGAGAGAGAGAGAGAGAGAGAACGACGAGAGGGGGAGAGAGAGAGATGTGGCAGCGATAGAGAGGGAGGGAGAGAGAGGGGGGGACAGAGATAGGTGGGGGGATAGAGAGAGAGAGTGAAAGAGAGGGAGAAAGAGAGAGATGAGAAATAGAGAGATAGGGGGCAAGAGAGAGAGGCCAGAGTGAAAGAGACAGAGAGACACACACAGATAGATAGAGAGAGATCAGAGAGAGAGAGAGAAAGAGAGAGAGAGAGAGAGAGAGAGAGAGAGAGAGAGAGACTTCCTAAACCCTGTGTCTCTTGTGTCCACAGTCAGGCAGGGAGTTACTTCAGCAGATCAGGGAGTGGTCCTCTCCGGAAGAAAAGCCCCAAACCTGGAACCAAGGTATGGTCTGCACCAACCAGAGACACAGGGACCAGCATGGGGCCTGTGACCATGTGCACTATGTAACCAGGAAGAGAAAAAGAGAAGGGTTAAGTGTGGCTTATTTGGTGGAGAAGAGAGGAAGAAGAGAGGAAGAAGAGAGGGGAGGAGAGACGGAGAAGAGAGGGGAGGAGAGAGGGAGAAGAGAGGGGAGGAGAGAGAGGAGAGAGGAAGAAGAGAGGGGAGGAGAGAGAGGAAGAAGAGAGGGGAGGAGAGAGGGAGAAGAGAGGGGAGGAGAGAGAGGAGAGAGGAAAAAGAGAGGGGAGAGAGGAGGAAGAGACAGGAAGAAGAGAGAGGAGAGAGGAAGAAGAGAGGGGAGGAGAGAGAGGAGAGAGGAAGAAGAGAGGGGAGGAGAGAGAGGAAGAAGAGAGAGGATGAAGAGAGAGGAGAGAGGAGGAGAGAAGGGAGGAGAGAGGAGAGAGGGAGAAGAGAGGGGAGGAGAGAGAGGAAGAAGAGAGAGGAGGAGAGAGAAAGATGAGAGGAAGAAGAGAGAGGAGGAAGAGAGAGGAAGAAGAGAGGGGAGGAGAGAGAGGAGAGAGGAAGAAGAGAGAGGATGAAGAGAGAGGAGAGAGGAAGGAGAGAAGGGAGGAGAGAGGAGAGAGGGAGAAGAGAGGGGAGGAGAGAGAGGAAGAAGAGAGAGGAGGAGAGAGAAAGATGAGAGAGGAAGAAGAGAGAGGAGGAAGAGAGAGGAAGAAGAGAGAGGAGAGAGGAAGAGAGAGAGACAGAAAGAGTTGTAGCTAATGTTGTGTGTCCTCAGAGCGTGGCTGCAGACCAGGGCTGCATCAGTCAGAGGTTCATACAGGGGACCATCCTGGCGCTGGTGGTGGTCATGACGTTCAGGTGAGACTCCCACAGGACCAGGACTAGGACCAGACACAGGACCAGACACAGGACCAGACCCAGGACCAGACCCAGGACTGAAGTCACAACGAGGAAATGCACTGAGAAAGAAGCAAAGAAAAATTATTCAGCAATATGGTCCTTATGCTCTCTCTGGTCTCTCTCTGGTCTCTCTCTGGTCTCTCTCTGGTCTCTCTGCTCTCTCTCTGGTCTCTCTCTGGTCTCTCTCTGGTCTCTGGTCTCTCTCTGGTCTCTGGTCTCTGGATAAGTTCTTTTGTGCTGTGTGCTCCTCATTCTTACTGTTCTGTAACAATGCAACACAGACATTTCCACACTGGGACCAGTAAAGGATTTCTTAACTTGTGTTTTCCTCTCTCTGCCTCCTCCTCTGTGCCTCCTCCTCTTTACCTCCTCCTCTCTGCCCCCTCCTCTCTACCTCCTCCTCTGTGCCTCCTCCTCTGTGCCTCCTCCTCTTTACCTCCTCCTCTCTGCCCCCTCCTCTCTACCTCCTCCTCTGTGCCTCCTCCTCTGTACCTCCTCCTCTCTGCCCCCTCCTCTCTACCTCCTCCTCTGTGCCTCCTCCTCTGTGCCTCCTCCTCTTTACCTCCTCCTCTCTGCCCCCTCCTCTGTACCTCCTCCTCTCTGCCTCCTCCTCTTTATGACCTCCTCTCTACCTCCTCCTCTGTACCTCCTCCTCTGTGCCTCCTCCTCTTTACCTCCTCCCCTCGGCCTCCTCCTCTTTATGACCTGCTCTCTACCTCCACCTCTGTACCTCCTCCTCTGTGCCTCCTCCTCTCTGCCACCTCCTCTGTACCTCCTCCTCTCTGCCTCCTCCTCTTTATGACCTCCTCTCTACCTCCTCCTCTGTACCTCCTCCTCTGTGCCTCCTCCTCTCTGCCACCTCCTCTGTACCTCCTCCTCTCTGCCTCCTCCTCTTTATGACCTCCTCTCTACCTCCTCCTCTGTGCCCCCTCCTCTGTTCCTCCTCCTCTCTGCCTCTTCCTCTGTGCCTCCTCCAGTGTCATATCCATGTCCGTGCTGTACGTACTGACTCTCCACCACAGAGGAGACATGGGCGAGCGAGACGGGTGAGTTTCTTTTGTAAATATAAATATGATTCATAAATCTCTCTTCTTCTTCTTCTTCTTCTTCTTCTTCTGATAATGTCTGTGTTCCTTCAGCCTTGTGCCCTGTGCTGTCTTCATCTCTCGGACGCCATTCTTCACTGTGTCTGTGCATCTCTGTCCTCCTCTCTGTCCATGGTAGGCTTTCTCCTTTCTCCTCCATTCTCCTCCTTTATCCTCCTTTCTCCTCCTTTCTCCTCCTTTCCCCTGCTCCTATCTCAGTGATTATAAGAAACAGCTGAACTCTGTCTCTGCTCAGGTCCAAGTCTCCACACTCTGCTCTGGGAATCTTCCATAAAAGTGCCTTTGCTCCTGTGTCCACAGCCGCTGCACTAGGTCAGACACAGAGCCACAAAAGTCTACGTTCTTTAAGAATTTATGAACCATGAGATAAAGTTCATGCTGCTTCTTTTTCAGCGGTTACCAACGAAACATCTACAGTTATATTATCAAGTAACCACTCCACCACAGGTACCACCCGGTCTCTCTCTGGTCTCTCTCTCTGGTCTCTCTCTGGTCTCTCTCTGGTCTCTCTCTTGTCTCTATCTGGTCTCTCTCTGGTCACTCTCTGGTCTCTTTCTGGTCTCTCTCTGGTCTCTTTCTCTGGTGTCTCTCTGGTCTCGCTCTGGTCTCTTTTCTCTCTCTGCTCTCTGGTCTCTCTCTGGTCTCTACCTGGTCTCTACCTGGTCTCTCTCTGGTCTCTACCTGGTCTCTCTCTGGTCTCTCTCTGCTCTCTGGTCTCTCTCTAAGATCTCCCTTGGGTCTCTCTGGTCTCTGGTTTCTCCCTGGTCTCTCTCTTTCTGGACTCTCTCATTGGGATGTTACAAAGGGCAATGTTTGCCCAGTTATAGAATAGTGATATAGTCTGTACCTGTAGTCACGTCCCTTTGTTGTGACCGCTCAGACCCGCTGCCCACACAGAGCTCTGTGGTGAAAAAGGCAAAGTCTCGTCCTCTGGACAAAGACGGCCACAGGAACCGCCTCAGTCACACCTCTCCTCCGTTCTACTTCCCCAAGTCCAAGAAGAGCCCAGAGCCGCAGGGGGCCGGGACCAACCACCTGCCGCAGGGCCAGCAGCCGAGCACCAGGAGGCAGCGCAGTGTGGCTCCGCCTGCAGGTGAGTCACTGCACTGCGCCTCAGGTCAATGCTGATCAATCTGATGGTGTTTGTTCTGTAGGAGGGGGGCGGCCGGCACTGGTCTCTGTCCACATCCTGGAGACAAACCAAACAGTCACGGTGCACAAGTGTGTGACAGCCGACAACTGCATGTGAGTCACACACTTAAAGCTCGGGAACCTAAATACAGAAATAATACATTTTGTGAGTCTTTAAGAGATTTTAGCTGCATAAAAATGAAATGCTGCCTCCAGATGTTTAGTCCGGACTCTGGGACCAGCAGGATCCCTGTGCTCCCCAGAGTCCCAGCAGGAGGCCAGTCCCTGTGCTCCTCAGAGTCCCAGCAGGAGGCCAGTCCCTGTGCTCCTCAGAGTCCCAGCAGGAGGCCTGTCCCTGTGCTTCTTAGAGTCCCAGCAGGAGGCCATTCCCTGTGCTCCTCAGAGTCCCAGCAGGAGGCCAGTCCCTGTGCTTCTTAGAGTCCCAGCAGGAGGCCATTCCCTGTGCTCCTCAGAGTCCCAGCAGGAGGCCAGTCCCTGTGCTCCTCCCAGTTGGTTCATATGGCACAAGAGACTCGTACACAAAAACAGTTACAAAGTAAATATATTCATATCTATTCTTTTGTTTCTTTTATCTGCAGCTTCACTGTTTCACTGACTGGAAGCAAAGACTCGTCTATTTCTAAAGTTACATTAAATTTGAGGTAAGTCACAGTTTGGGCCGAGGCAGAGTTCAGTTCAGTTCAATGTATTTGTGAATCTTTACAAAGTTGTTGATTCACCACAAACAGATCAGAGAATCAGACTGAACACGGGGACAATAATGATAACAAACCCATAGGAACTGTTACATGTTTTACATGTTTTGGTCTGAGCTGGAGACAGAGTCTGAGCTGGAGACAGTCTGAGCTGGAGACAGAGTCTGAGCTGGAGACAGTCTGAGCTGGAGACAGAGTCTGAGCTGGAGACAGTCTGAGCTGGAGACAGAGTCTGAGCTGGAGACAGAGTCATTGACTGATGTGTAAATCCACAAGTTGTTTTCATGTTGTAGAAATGTCAGTTTTTCAGCAGGTCCAGATGCAATTGTTGATCATTATTTGAGTGTGATTAGATTCACAAAGCTGCCGAGTTATTCTCATGTTTGAGAGTCTGCCCTGATGGACAACATTAGAAAGAAAATCAGACCAATGTAGACAAGAACTGACAAAGCGGGTTCAGGTCCATGTGGATTGGTTTTAGGATTAAATTAGCCTGAAACCTGACTTTTGACACTCACTAAAGTAAACGGGAAAGAGGGATCAGCTTCTGTCCTCCACAGTCTCTAACTGTAGTGTCTTTGTGGTGTTGTGATGTCACATGACTGTTTGTGTGTGTTGTGATGTCACATGACTGTGTGTGTTGCAGGTTTGGGGGCAGTGTGTGGCTGCGTCAGTGTGGACAGGACACGCGTCACACTGCAGAGACACAGGTAACACACAGAGCTCTCTCTGGTCTCTCTCTGGTCTCTCTCTGGTCTCCCCATGGTTTCATTAATGGTTTGTTTACAGGGAACTCTCCACCTGGTGTCAGTGCCGCTGCGATACTGGGGAGCCACCCTTCACCTCAGAGCCTCCGAGTCTGTGAGTGGAACTATGTTTTAGAACTACATTGTATATAGTCTCTCTCTGGTCTCTCTCTGGTCTCGCTGGTCTCTCTCTAATCTTTCTCTAGTCTCTCTCTGATCTCTCTCCAGTCTCTCTCTGGTCTCTGGTCTCTCTCTGGTCTTTGGTCTCCATGGTAACAGCTGTATTTCCTCTCCTCCTCCTCCAGGGGGCAGTGCGGTGCTCGTCAGACGAACAGAGCTCCTCCACAGACTTCTTCTTCCGCCTCCGCAGCAGCTGTGTCTGAGGGCTGCGCTCTTGTACATAAAAAACACCACTCAAAAGTTTTTATTTTCTGTATATTTAATGGTTTCTGACATTATTTTATAGTTTGTTTGTTCTTAGCGGGAGGTTTAAAACGACCACAGATAGAACCACGAGGCCTTATCCAGATGTATCCATGTGTTTTATGGTGAAATACTGTACGTTTTGTTGCTTATTGACCAATCAGAACAGAATAATACTTATTTTTTTAATGATAAACGTTCACAAATGCCTTTAAACTTAAAATCACCAATGGCCTCTTGGCGCCTGTTCCGCAATCGCTACTTTAAAGTATCAACACAAAAATTACTTAAAGCAATAACTATTTATAAGCATTGGATTAAAGAGACACTATCTATCATTTGTCTCTTGTCTCTCTCTAGTCTCTCTGCTCTCTCTCTTTTGTCTCTCTCTGGTCTCTCTCTGGTCTCTCTCTGGTCTCCCTCTGGTCTCTCTCTAGTCTCCCTCTGGTCTCTCTCTAGTCTCTCGCTGGTCTCTCGCTGGTCTCTCGCTGGTCTCTCTCTGCTCTCTCTCTTTTGTCTCTCTCTCTCTGGTCTCTCTCTGGTCTCTCTCTAGTCTCTCTCTTTTGTCTCTCTCTGGTCTCTCGCTGGTCTCTCGCTGGTCTCTCGCTAGTCTCTCTCTGGTCTCTCTCTGGTCTCTCTCTGGTCTCTCGCTAGTCTCTCTCTGGTCTCTCTCTGGTCTCTCCCTAGTCTCTCTCTGGTCTCTCTCTGGTCTCTCTCTGGTCTCTCGCTGGTGTCTCGCTAGGCTCTCTCTGGTCTCTCTCTGGTCTCTCTCGCTGGTCTCTCGCTGGTCTCTCGCTGGTCTCTCTCTGGTCTCTCCCTAGTCTCTCTCTGGTCTCTCTCTGGTCTCTCTCTGGTCTCTCTCTGGTCTCTCTCTGGTCTCTCTCTGGTCTCTCTCGCTGGTCTCTCGCTGGTCTCTCGCTGGTCTCTCTCTGGTCTCTCCCTAGTCTCTCTCTGGTCTCCCTCATTGACCACACTGTCACTGTATACCTCAGTGGTGTTATCACTGGTAAATGGAGGCTCACAGAGGCTCTTTGTCATCTACAGACTCAGCTCTGTGTACTAAGCCCAAAGAAGAGTCACACAGAGAGAGCAGTGTTTGGCTAACACTGAGATCTGGAGCTAACTCTGTCCTTTTAGCATTTTAGTTTATTCCTCACTAATGAACAGATAATTAGTCTATAGTCTATGGTTAATTAGCTCTTAATCAGTATTAATTTAGCACTTATTCGTCCTTATTCTACATGGCCAGTTTCAACATCTAACTGACATTGTCACTGTGGGTTAGCGTTAGCGTTAGCATACACTAGTTAGCACTTAGTAAGCTGTTAATTAGTGAGGGCTAAACTAAAGAGTTAGCCTTTGTCTTTAATATCTTTAACCAGAAATAAAACAGCGTCATTAAAACACTAGAGCTCCCAGAGCAGTCAAATTGACGGCTTTTAATTTTGGAAAGTTCTCAGTTCATGTAAAAAATGTTGGTGACTCTTCCTGTTTCTTCATATAGTTTATTTCTATGTCATTACATTCATTCGTGAGTGGTTCTACCTTTAACTCTCAGAGCAGTCACTTTGACTGTCTAAAGTGTTTGTTACCATAGCAACACGCTGTTTACTAGCAGCAGTTAGCATTAGCCTATCGTCTGGTTTTTGATTTTTTGAATTATATTCACCAGTCCTACTACTTTTATAAGACCTTATAAAAGTATTTTTTAAATTTTCCAGATTGTCTTCTGGTGTGACTGGGAGCCGTCAAAATGACTGCTCTGGTAGTTCTCCTACTTTCAGATTTCTGTCCGAGGGTTAAAAGTATTGACACTGTTGTGAGATAATCATTTTCAAACCACAAAATATACTTTTATATATTTCAAGCTTCTCCTTTATATGGCACAGACTGGTCGCCTCGGTCAGTGTGCCCCAGGGCAGCTGTGGCTCCTGGGTCCAAAAGGCTCTGTATAAAACCAATGCTTTATTATTATTATTGTGTTTCACTAAAACTAACATTCTACTGTCACTGAATCTAAACTGGAAACAAGTCGGTTATGTTTGAAAAGAGTTTGGAGAGTAGAGGACACTGTACCTGTGATCATACTGTACCTGTGATCATACTGTACTTGTGATCACACTGTACTTGTGATCATACTGTACCTGTGATCACACTGGACATTGACACTGGACATTAACACTGTACCTGTGATCACACTGGAAGCACAAAGAATGACTGACTGTTGGTGATAAAGTCCTGCCCAGACACTGACAGACACTGACAGACACAGACAGACACAGACAGACACAGACAGACACAGACAGACACAGACAGACACTGACAGACACTGACACTGACAGACACAGACAGACACAGACAGACACAGACAGACACAGACAGACACAGACAGACACAGACAGACACAGACAGACACTGACAGACACAGACAGACACTGACAGACACTGACAGACACTGACAGACACAGACAGACACTGACAGACACAGACAGACACAGACAGACACTGACAGACACACACAGACAGACACAGACAGACACTGACAGACACAGACAGACACTGACAGACACACACAGACACAGACAGACACAGACAGACACTGACAGACACAGACAGACACTGACAGACACAGACAGACACTGACAGACACACACAGACACAGACAGACACAGACAGACACTGACAGACACAGACAGACAGACAGACACTGACAGACACAGACAGACACAGACAGACACAGACAGACACAGACAGACACTGACAGACACAGACAGACACTGACAGACACTGACACTGACAGACAGACACTGACAGACACAGACAGACACTGACAGACAGACACAGACAGACACTGACAGACACACACAGACACAGACAGACACAGACAGACACTGACAGACACAGACAGACAGACAGACACTGACAGACACTGACAGACACAGACAGACAGACAGACACAGACAGACAGACACAGACAGACAGACAGACACAGACAGACACTGACAGACACAGACAGACAGACAGACACAGACAGACACAGACACAGACAGACACAGACACAGACAGACACAGACAGACACAGACACTGACACAGACAGACACAGACAGACACTGACACAGACAGACACAGACAGACACTGACACAGACAGACACAGACAGACACTGACACAGACAGACACAGACAGACACTGGCTCCTGCTGCAGGTGGCGCTAGAGAGACTTTGTCATTAGAGGTTTTAGATCCGAGACCAAACTCTGTCGTTCAAAAGAAACACTGGAGAACAGCCATAGCTTCTGAAACGCCTCAGAACTGAAACCACTGGAGCACTTTCTTACACCTGTATGAACTGTCTTATACCTGTATGAACTGTCTTACACCTGTATAAACTGTCTTATACCTGTATGAACTGTCTTACACCTGTATGAACTGTCTTATACCTGTATGAACTGTCTTACACCTGTATGAACGGTCTTACACCTGTATGAACTGTCTTACACCTGTATGAACGGTCTTACACCTGTATGGACTGTCTTACACCTGTATGAACTGTCTTACACCTGTATACACGTTCTTACACCTGTATGAACTGTCTTACACCTGTATACACGTAGTAATCTGAAGCTTTACACCAGTCTTATATGTGTCTCATTTCATCACTAATGTTTTCTAAATGTAGTGAGGCTGTATTTGTTTTACGCCTGTATTTTTGTTGCTGGCTCAGAGTCTTACACCTGTGTACTATCGCCGGCTCTGTGTCTTACACCTGTGTTTTATCGCCGGCTCAGAGTCTTACACCTGTGTTTTATCGCCGGCTCAGAGTCTTACACCTGTGTTTTATCGCCGGCTCAGAGTCTTACACCTGTATTTTATCGCTGGCTCAGAGTCTTACACCTGTGTTTTATCGCCGGCTCAGAGTCTTACACCTGTATTTTATCGCTGGCTCAGAGTCTTACACCTGTGTTTTATCGCTGGCTCAGAGTCTTACACCTGTGTTTTATCGCCGGCTCAGAGTCTTACACATGTGTTTTATCGCTGGCTCAGAGTCTTACACCTGTATTTTATCGCTGGCTCAGAGTCTTACACCTGTGTTTTATCGCTGGCTCAGAGTCTTACACCTGTGTTTTATCGTCGGCTCAGAGTCTTACACCTGTGTTTTATCGCCGGCTCAGAGTCTTACACCTGTGTTTTATCGCTGGCTCAGAGTCTTACACCTGTGTTTTATCGCCGGCTCAGAGTCTTACACATGTGTTTTATCGCTGGCTCAGAGTCTTACACCTGTGTTTTATCGCTGGCTCAGAGTCTTACACCTGTGTTTTATCGCCGGCTCAGAGTCTTACACCTGTGTTTCTTACGCCTGTGTTGTTACATTTTTTTGTTAATTAATGAATTTTGCTTTAAAGTTACAAATGCCCTCAATAAAACTATGTTTGTAACCTGCTGAATCCTTTACTGTGTGTGTGTGTGTGTGTGTGTGTGTGTGTGTGTGTGTGTTTTTATATCCTGGTGGGGTCCACAACCTGAGATTTGACTCACGTCGTGGGGACCGGTTTTACCTTGTGGGGCCCGGGACCCGGACCCCACAAGTCCAAGCATAGAAACCATTGTAATATGCCTTTTCAATGGTCCTGATTCAGATTCTGCAAAAATCTCAAAATGGCCCCTGGAGGCCAATTTTACTGACAGATCTGTGTGAAGTGTGGACATCCTGGTGGTCAATGTGGGGTACTGCAAGGGCCCCATAAGGACAAGAGATGTGTGTGTGTGCATAGGTCCCCATGAGGATATGAGGGAACCCTAGTGGTTAGTGTGGGGTACTGCAAGGGCCCCATAAGGACAAGGGATTTGTGTGTGTGCATAGTGTCCCCATGATACCAATAAAGAAACAAAAAATGTGATATTAATGAATGAATAAATGGATCATGGAACATGGTCCAAGGTCAGAGTGTCGGAGACACGCG